GTTTGCTAGTCTTGTGCCTCCAGCTCTACAGCCAACAGTTGGTAGTCCTGTAACAATAGCTGATTAGGAGTGGTCAGTGGGTCTCTTAAAAACATCCCAATGGGAGAAGAAGTACAGACAATGACACAGTTCCCCTGAGTGAGGCAGAGAAGACTCAAGGGTCTGCAGTTTCGTCTCAGGAATTCAGAGAGGGTTGACTTTGAGATGGCACAGGCTGCTCAGTGATTCATCAAACACAGCAGGGACCTAGGATTCAGCCTGATAGAGACAGTCTCCTGGCATCAGCACTTGGAGAAAAGCCAGAAGAAGAGGAGAGGACTATGTTCGAGAAATGAAGCCTTACATCCTGGGGAATGGGCAGAGGCGGGTAGCCCTGCCAGAGACCCACTTGCCAGTATCGAGTGGAAAGCCAAGCCACCAGTAAATGAGAGAGCAAATTTGTTGCAGATGGAAGAGAGCAGATCTGTTGAGGGTGGAGCCAGGTGGGTAAGGTTCCAGCATGAAGTTATTATCTTTCAGTGGGTCCTGCTGCTAAACCAACATGCCACACTCAACAGAGTTAGAGTAAGAGGTTTATTGGGGAAGAGTGAAAGACTGAAAGGGTGATTCTTCCTTCCATCTATTGGATGGTTAGCAGAATGTTACAAGGGTCCCATAAAATATCAGGATATAGCATTCCGAGAAGCAGATTTTTGGTAGGCTTATTCACCATGAGTGAGCCAGAACGAGATCTAATGGCTTTTTATCGAGTGAGGATTGAACGAGAAAGGTACAAGCTGCCTGGGGCCAAGGACTCTAAGCCTGAGAGACCTGTGGTTGCCGATACCAGGTCTTGTCCAAGAGTCGAGGAACCACAGTCTCGAGATGATTCCTCACTTGTGGGAAATGGCCAGGGGTGGGGGAGGCGGAGGGGCTCACCAGTCATGCCGGTGTTGGATGCAGGGATCCAGGGACATAAGGCTGTCTTATGTGGAGAAGTAAGGTTGTCTTATGTGGATCGGGTTCTAGGGTTCTGGTGTGTCTCAAACTGCCAGTAGGCAGGAGGAAACACCAGGAGAGCATTTCTGGATCAGAGAACCAATGTTGTAATTAAAAAATAAATAAAACACCACGCAACAAGGCTCACATAGGTTTATTTGAAGAGGTGAGAGAAGGGACGGAGGGGTGGACAGAGACCAGTTCCTGGGGACAAGAGTGGAAGGAGTGACAGAGAAGAAGAGAAAGAGATGGGAGGTGGTCAAGGCCCACCTTTTAAAAGGGAATGCAGCGAGCGTGCACAGGAGGTGCTCTTGGTGGCTGCAGCTGAGGGCATATCCTATCAGTGCCCCAAGGGCAGGCCAGTACAGATGCCCGGATACTAACAATTGTCTTTAAGTTTAACTTCTTTCAGATTCTCACGACATGGGGTAAATAAGCCAGATTTTTGGTCAAAATATCACTGCCTCTGTTCCAGATGAGCCGTTTCGTTCTGCAAGCTCATGAGTCAGGCCTCCAAGGTCTGTGTATCCGCTGTATCCGTCGGTGTCGTGGCTTCTAAACTCCCACTAGAACAGCCCATAAGTGCTGCTCCCTCCCGGCACGTGTCCTCTGCTTCTGTTCACTAGGCTGACCATAGAGTTTGAAAACTTCCCAGGGTCTTAGCTGTTGTGACGTCTCATTTAAGGCTTCAGTATGATCTTCAGCAAAGGTTTCCTAATAAGGTCTTTGGCACAGTGTTTTGGATGTACTTCAAGTAGCATGATACACTATGGTACTAAATATTTTCAGTGTAGAATTGGTAGAATATCTGCTGAGTTAGAACTGGAGTTGAGGAAGAGCTTATTTCCAGTATTGGGGGAAAAAAAAAAGAAAAAAATGAAATGACTTGAGTGTCAATTTACTTACGCTCATCTAAGATAAGAAACCACACGTTTTCACTCTGGTCCTCCGGAAAAGCAGCCAGTGCTCTTTCCCTCAGAGCCATCTCTCCAGAGTCTTAAATCAGTCCTTTCTAGACTGAATAGGCCTTTGGTAAGGAGAGGCCATCTCTAAATTTTTTGCCATACCTCTTAGATCATTATCTTGCTGCATCATTAGAAAGGAATATCTTAGTTTCTGGCGTTTAGTGTTTGGTGTTCATAGTTGTGGCGCTAACTCTTTAACCTTTTTAATTATTTATTTTTTTAAAGATCACATATTAATAATATGAAACAAAAATTTAAAAGGTCCCATAGCCTGATAAATGTAAAATTTCAAAAGATGTTAGTTTAAAAAAAAAAACAGTTTTAGCTGGGTGTGGTGGTACACTTCTTTAATCTCAGCACCCAGGAGGCAGAGGCAGGAGGATCTCTGTGAGTTTAAGGCCAGCCTGGTTTACAAAGTGAGTTCCAGGGCAGTCAGGGCTCTGTTACACAAAGAAACCGTGTCTCCAAAACAAAACAAACAAATCTAGTTTTTTAAATTTAAAACTCCAAAATTCCCTCCTTTTTAAAAATATTTATTACGAATACAACATTCTGCCTCCATGTATGTCTGCACACCAGAAGTGGGCACCATGTGGTTGCTGGGAATTGAACTCAAAACCTCTGGAAGAGCAGCCAGTGCTCTTATCCTCTGAGCCATCTCTCTAACCCCCCCCCAATTTCCTCTTAAAGAAGTTTAAAGTCTCTCAACTGTGGGCCCCTGCAATATCAAAGAATAAAGTACCGTTTGACTCCGAGAGTGAAGAAGCAGGGCACAGCCACAGTCCGGACCAGGGAAAACCAGGCTCCAGTAGTGCAGACAGCTCCATGCGCAACATCTGGGGTTTGCCCCACAATCCTCTGGGCTTCCCTAAGAAGCCTGGGTCACCTCTCTGGCCCCAACTTCAGCAGCATACAGAGCGCGCCGTCTAGTCCCAGCCCCGTCCATTGCATGGCCGCTGTCGTTTCTGATGGCCATCCCATGGCACCAGCATCTCCAAAACTGCTAGGGTCCTTTCCTGGGCTCTCCTTAGGAGCTCAGCCCTGCCACACAGTGACACACATCAACTGTTCTCCACAATCCCTTCTTACCTTTAAAACCAATACCACCTGGGTAACTCTTACATTACAGAGTTTGGCTGCCAGCACAAGATATGTTCTTGTATGTGAACATATGAAGGTGTAGCTTTAATACCTTTTTAAACAAGCCTTATTTTAAAATTCTATCTTTCATTAGCCTTGTATTCAGGACAGGAACTTTTATACAAAAATCCACCGTAATCCAAAATATCTTGGAGACCTGTTGCCCCCTTGGTTGGTTTATGCCATGTGATCACCTTTAATCAAGATGGCAGTGAAGTCGCATAACGTCCATCATCCCCAACTCTAGCAAAGATCCAGCCACACAGCTGTCTACTTCCTGATGGGGACAGCAGCTGAGATGGTGGCAAACCACATGTGGCTTATGACGTTCTGTGCTGCCGCTCCTGGCGATAAAACACCATCCACCAAACTGAACAAACCCACATGGAGTTTATTGGGAAAGGGAGCAAGGGAGGCGTAGGTGTTAGCCAATCAGGAACAGAAGTGGGAGCAGTTTGGAACGAGCCGGGCCCTTGAAGCTGGAGTCATGGAGCTGCCATGGGCCGGCTCTGCACCGCCCCAGGTCCACGTGGTTTGTGCACGCAGAGCCCTTAAGCAGCCACCTAGCGCAGGCAACGTAGTCTTGCAACCTTTGACAGCCTTTGAGCTGTCAGTGAGGAGCGATCGCATGTCAAAGATGGATCCAGGGCAGGGAAAGTTGCCCAAGAAGAGTGATCCCGGGGTTGGGGAAGCGCCCAAGGATTAGAGAGGCCCTGTGACCAGGAAAGGCTCCCTAAGCAGAAGGCACAGGCCAGGAGAGGGCTGGTGCGGAGTGGCAGGCGGTGCTGATGAGAAACCATGGGGCTGGAGGAGGAGAGGAGTCGGGAGCAGGAACAGGGTGAGGTTGCCGAGGACCCGGGGAGAGGGAGAAGCCAGGATATCAACACCGGGGAGAGGGAGAAGCCAGGATATCAACAGTGTGGCTTTGTATTCCTTGGCTCCTGACTGCCAGGATTCCTTTCCATCTGAGCTGTAACATTTACAGGGATCCTACGAGACAAGGTAAGGGTGCTTGCCACCCAGGCCTGGCAACCTGAGTTTGATTATCAGGACCCACATAAAGGTGGAAGGAGGAAAGGTGGACTCCATGAAGTTGTCCTCTGATCTCAACACAGGTGCCATCACACACACACACACACACACACACACACACACACACACGCACGCACGCACGCACGCACGCACGCACGCACACACACACACACACACACACACACACACACACACACATACAGAGGGCAGAGGACAACTTTCAGATGTTGATTCTCTCCTACCAAGTGGGATCCAGGGATCAAAATCAAGTTACCAGATTTGCTGGCATCAGACTTGCCTTGGCCTACTTAGGCCTCTTGCCAGTCCCCTACCCCAAATTAAGATTTTAAATTTTGGAATAGTTGTAGATTCATATGTGACAGTCTATCAATTCTCTGTAACTTTACCCCCTCCCCCCATGACATTTTGTAAAACAATTTGTCTCAACAGGCATGTCAGCAAGGATACATCAAGACCCAGAATATTTCCATCACTTCAGGGTCCTTCACAGTGCCACACCCCACACTCCTTTTTGTTTATTTATTTTTTCTGAAACAGTGTATGTAGCCCTTGGACTCACCATCCTCCTGCCTCAGCCTCCCAAGTGCTGGGACTCTCGGCATTTACTGGCACACCTCCTTTTCCCCTGCATCCCTGGCATCCATTGCTGTGCTCTCTGGTTCTGTGGTTTGTCATCTGAAGAGTGTTAGGTCTCATACAGTGTGTGACTCTTTAACATCAGCTCCTCCTAACTCCCTGTAATTTAATCTGAGTCGTGGTACCAGGAATCCATCCCATTTACCACCAAGTAGTACTCCAAGCATGGCTGTATCACTCTAATGTATAATCCACCTGACGCTTCTCTCTTCCCCTCTCTCCTCCCAGCAATGCCAACTGAGTTCACCTCTGTAAAGCTGAGAAGAGATTGCTCAAGGACCTCCCTGCAATGGTACACCCGAACCCAGAACAAGATGAGAAGACCCAGCTTGTTATTCAAAGACATTCTCAAGTAAGCACAGCCTCCAGGTCAACAGCATAGGGTTAGAAGTGTTCAGTGAAGTGCCTACCTGTTATTAGAGGGAAACCCTGGGTCCAAGCAGCAGGTTAAACCTCAGCTGAGTGAAGACTCGGGATATAGATGAGTGGTTTAGGCACTGCTTGCCTTGCATTTGATAGATGGGTTTGATGGGAGTGCCAGTCCTAGTGGCTGAGCTTGGGTGCCCGTTCTTCGTGCCACTGCTTAGCAAAAGAGGTGTTCTTAGCTATTGTGAGCTAATGTGTATATGGCATGTTAAAGTACCCCGAAGACTCCTAAGTACCACTAAATACTGAACATCAGAGAAGACAGTACCATGTGACCCTTACATCCCAGCACCTAGGAAGATCAACACAGAACCTGATGGGTTTCTTTGGTACCCGCCGAACCAAGTTGGAATCTTCCTTCTTTCTTCCTTCAAATTAAATTACCGTGTGTGTGTGTGTGTGTGTGTGTGTGTGTGTGTGTGTGTGTGTGTGTGTTCATACTCAGCAGTATGTTTTTAAAGGTCAGAAGACAAATTTGTAGAGTCAGTTCTGTCTACCTGAGATCTCAGCTGTGGTGAGTGTATGAGATGACAAATTAGTGTTAATTTATGAGGCCTCTGGAGACAGCTCTTTGATGCTCTTAAGGGTAACTGTTAGTGCCCTGTAATTACTCATTTCTTGGTAGGACTCTCTAGAAACACAAGTAGATTGTTTGATTTTTTAAATGTTTTTGCCTGCAAGTGTGTCTGTGTATACCATGTACATAGCTCATGCCAGAGGCCAGGAGAGGATCCCCCAGAACTGGAGTTACATGTGGTTGTTAGCCTCCACGTAAGATTGTTTCTTGTTTTAAAACTCTGAGAACTTCATACATGAGAACTGCATCTACGGCTTTCCCAGATTGTTTCTTTGATAAAGGCCTGACAGTATTTAAAGAAACAGAAAAAACAACAACAACGGAAGCAGAGATTCTGTGGTTAAGTCGTTCACTTGCTCTGTTTAGTTCCATCATCTCGTTGTAATTTGGATCTTGTGCCCTTGCAAAAGCAAGGCAGGGTGGGAGAGGATTCTGTATTTGCTTAGGAAGAAGCCAATCATAAAAGACTGTCTCATCAGGAAATGACGCCTTCCTTTTACTACCCTATGGTGACCTTCCATCAGGCTTCTCAACCTTCCTACTGCTCCCGCCTCTGTTCCTCGCATTGTGGCGACCCCAACCATGAAACTGTTTTCATTGCTACTCCACAGCTGTAACTTTTCTATTGTTACGAATCATAATTTAAATATCTGATATGCAGGATCTCTGCTATGCCGACCCCTTGTGAAAGGGCCGTTTAGCCCCTTGGCTGAGAACCACTGCCTTAGAGTCTGCTTCTATTCCGTTTGGATTAGGATTGCTCTTAGTTCATGTTTTTCTCCGGGTGTCACAGACGCATTACTGTACCTGATTTCTCCATGCAGGTGTACATCGGTTGTGTTTGCAGTGTGGCTCCTGTACATCCTCAAGGTGAATTACACTGCTGAGGAATGTGACATGAAAAGAATGCATTATGTGGACCCTGACCGCATAAAGGTGAGCTATTGCGTGGGGCTTAAATTCAGACATTTCCAAACACACACTTCAGCCGCAATCCCACCTATACTGTATGACGTAGGTAAGCGTGCTAATGAAAATCTGAATAAGTGTTCTAGTTTCACATCTGTTTCCGTGTTTAAAACAGAATCTGGCCAAAAGCAACTTAGAGTAGGAAAGCCTTATTTCAGTTTGCAGGTCACAGTCCATCATCGAGGGAAATCGAGGCAGGAAGTCCAAGGCAGGTCTGCTTGCTAGCCCATGCAGGTTACCTTCTAACCAGGGAACGCACTCACAGCCAAGACAGCGTGTCAGAAACCATGGAGGAGCACTGCCTGCTGGCTTGCACATTCTCGTGCTCAACCACTTTCCTTACACAGGCCAGGACCACCTGCCCAGGGGATGGTCCTTCCCACAGTGGGCATCACTGAACAACCAAGGCAGGTCGCCATGTGCATGTCTAAAGTAGGTGGCTAGTGTAGATAGTCTTGTTCAGTGTTTGATGTATGCCAGGAATCATGCCACAGGTGCACTGTACTGTCACCTCAATGTCACCCTCCCTGTCCACCGCTGAGATGACTGGAGATGGACATGAAGAGTCGGGCCAGCGTCCTGACTACTCTATAGTTCCGGCACTTAGAAAGCAGAGCAGGAAGACCGCTTCGAGTTCAAGGCCTTATCTCACCAAAATAAACCAAACTAAATCCACTGATACTAAATCCCTTGGGTTCAGTCCCAAGTTTTCCCAACTGGGAAAATGCCAGGAGTGGTGTATGTCTGTGTAGATACTTCTTTCTTGTTTGACTTGGATTCCCTCATTTCTACCTTAGTCTGTATTCTGTGGATGTCCCAGTTTTGTATGGTCCAGATAGATAAACAAGCCACTGAGGAGCATCACCCTGTTTAGTCACAGGTTTTTGTTTTCCTGCTGTCCCTCTGTCCTCCGATGTTTGCTGCCTCCTCTTGTTTCATCAGTATTCCACATCTGCTTGGAGCTCTGTCCTCTGCCAACCTGTCTGGCTTGCAGACATTCCCTGAAGCTCGTTCAGTTCCAGGGCCTTTCACAGTGCTCTTGGACCAGGGTTTTTGACATCCTGTTTTCTGTCTCCTGGGAAAGGCCTAAAATTTTGTGGTTTGCTGAATCACTGTGGATTCCTCTGTCTGATTCTCTCCTGAGCTCCCCACTTTCTCATGCATCTTATTTCCTGTCCTTTTAATTACGTGTGTCAATGCCTGCCTGCCTGCCAGCCAGTTGATGGCCCGGAGTCTGTATAGTAGAGGGCAGAATGAGTCTCTCACATGAGGCTGAACACGCTGCATGGGCACAGGGTGGATGCTTCATCATGACGTTGTACGTAGAGTACACTTGGTAGAAGTAGAAACCTAACTGCCTGCCATGATTATCCCCCCATAACTACATTAAGGGTGGTCAGACAACTGTACATGTGTGAATTTCTGTGTACGCACGCCACCACGCTATCGGCCTTCGGGCTTGTGCAGCAAGCACTTTGACACTCAACCATCACCCCTGCTCCTGTTCTGATTATTGTGGCTATTGCTCTTTTTTGAGATTAAAAAAAAAGCGTTATGTATAGAGATGTTTTGTCTGCATGTCTGTCTTTATGTCACAAGTGTGCGGTGTCCAGAGAGACCAGAAAAGAGCACTGGATCCCTAGAACTGGAATTAGATGCTCCTGAGCCTCCAGGTGGGTGCTGGGAATCAAACCCAGGTCCTCTGGAAAAACAGCCAGTACTCTTAACCATGGAGCCACTGCTCCAGCCCCACGATCATTGTAGTTGTTGCTCTGTAAAGCTCTAGAGACCAAAGGGAAACTCGGGACTGCATCTCTGCGGCACCGTCACAAGGGAGGGAACACTTGCATACATAGCCTGAAAGATCTGATCTGGGGCAAATGATGGGACCCGCCTACGCGGCCTTTATGATGGGAAGGCATTTTAGACTAGCGGCCAGATTGCAGAAGAAAAAACTTGAAATCTTCTGCCACACTCCCTATCATAGTAATAGTAAGTCTGTCTGAATTGTGAATTATTTGAGAGTGGAATTAAGTTCATAAAGTTCCCTGCAGTCTGAGAAAAGGCCCGCATGCCTAGCTGGCCCTTAGGCGTGCCCTGCTTAACACGTCTGTTTCTGGCTTGTCTTTGCCTCAGGCGTGCCCTGAGATAGCACAGTAGGAGTTCTGAAAACTGACCCTGCCGTGTCTCATCCCCCTCAAGACTCTTGATCTCATCATCTTCGGGAACACCTGGAGGTCCCTTGGTCCACCTGTGAGACACGGTCCATCATCCCCCAGCACTGCCCCTGCTGTGTGCTCTGGGTGGGGCTGCTCTTTTCTTGTTACCTTTCAACCTCTTTCTTTTTAGCCACTCCATTGGGATACTACCCACACATCATAAAACTCACTGGAGCATGTGATGCAGGGCCTTTCACATCTTTACAGAGCCGTGCTGCTGGTGATGTGTGTGCAGAGCCTTTTCATCGTCCCCCAAAGAAGCCCCAGGACCATTATCAGTCACTCCCTGCCCCAAGCAACCATGAGTCCCCTCTCCACCTCTAAGGCTGCTTGCTGTGTAATGTAAATACAGCCCATCATCTTTTGCTGCCGGCCTTTTGCACTTAGCTAAATGTGTTCGTTCATCTCTCCAGTTGAAAACTAACACTGGTGCTGGGCATAGTAACCCAGAGCACTCAAAAGACTGAGGCAGAGATTGGAGTCAGCACGCACTATATGGCAAGACCTGTTTTTAAAAACTAAATAACAAGGTAACCCTCAAATTTCAAGTAGCACAGGGAAGAATAAAGGAGAGAGTTTGCTGTGGTTTTCCACTGGGGAAGAGAGACTAAGGGACTGTTTTGTGTGCGTGTCCCCTGAAAGCCTGCGACAGCCATGGGCGAACTGGAGTTGAGGTGTATTACTTGAGATATTTCTTTAATGATGTTATTACTATTATTAATTTTATACCCTGACCACAGTTTCCCCTCCCTCCTCTCCTCCCAGTTCCTCCCCCAAATACCCCCCATCCACTCTTCCACCGTTTCTATTCAGAAAGGGCAGGCTTCCTGTGGATACCAGCCAAGCATGGCATACCAAGTTGCAGTAAGACTAGGCACCTCCCCTCATATTAAGGTTGGGCAAGGCAGCCCAGTGTGAGGAATAAGGTCCCAAAAGCTGCAAGACTCAGAAACAGACCCTGCTCCCACTGTTAGGAGTCCCACAAGAAGACCAAGCTACACAACTGTAACATGTGTGCAGAGGGCATAGGTCAGTCCTGTGCAGGCTCCCTGGATGTCACTTCAGTCTGTGAGCTTCTGTGAGCCAAGATTAGTTGATTCTGTGAGTTTTCTTGTGGTGTCCTTGACTCCTCTGGCTCCTACAATCCTTCCTCCCTTCTGTAGGATTCCTTGAGTACTGCCTAATGTTTGACTATGGGTCTCTGCATCTATTTCCTTTTTTATTGCTATTATTATTATTATTTTCCATTCATGTTTGGTTCTATCATAGGTCTCTGAGCTATCCATCATCTGGGTCCTGGTGCTCTAGGCAGTGTCAGAGGTAGGCTCCCTCTTATGGCATGGGTCTCAAGCTGAAACATTCATTGGTTGACCACTCCCACAATTTCTGTGACGGCTTTACCCCAGCACATCCTCATAGGCAGTACAGATTGAAGGTCAAAGGTTATATGGCTGGGTTGTTGTCCCAATCCCGCACTGGAAGTAAGTCTTGCCTGGTTACACGAGATTGACAGTTCAGACTGTGTATCCCCTATTTCTAGGAGTCTTCACTAGGGTTATCCTTGTAGATTTCCAGGAATTTCCATTACACGAGGTTTCTATCTCACCCTGAAATGCCACACTTTTCCAGTCATCTCTTCCAGCACTCTCCCCCCAACCTGATCCCTCCTGTTCCCATCACCACCTCCCCATTCAGATCCCTCCCCCCATCCACTAGCAAAATCTATTCTATTTCCCGTTCACAGTGAGATTCATGTACCCTCCTTGAGCACTCCTTGCTACTTAGCCTCTCTGTGTCTGTGGATTGTAGCCTGATTATCCTTTACAGTTAATAGCCACTTATGGGCGAGTGTATACTATGCGTGTTTTTCTGGGTCTCGGTTACCTTACTCAAGATAATCTTTTGTAGTTCATCCATTTGCCTGCAAATTTTGTGGTGTTTTTTTGTTTTGTTTTTTGATTTTTTTGTTGTTGTTGTTGTTTTGGTTTTTTTAACAGCTGAGTAATACTTCATTGTGTAAATGTACCACATTTTCTTTATCCATTCTTCAGTTGAGGGATATCTAGGTTGTTTCCAGGTTCTGGCTATTATAAGTAATGCTGCTATGAACATAGCTGAGCAAGTGTCCTTGTGGTATGATTGGGCATCCTTTGGGTATATGCCCAAGAGTGGTATTGCTGGGTCTTGAAGTAGATTAATTCCCAATTTTCTGAGGAATCACCATATTGATTTCCAAAGTAGCTGTACAAGTTTACATTCCCACCAGCAATGGAGGAGTGCTCCCCTTTCTCTACATCCTCTCCAGCATAAGCTGTCATCAGTGTTTTTGATCTTAGCCACTCTGACAGGTCTAAGATGGAATCTCAGAGTTGTTTTGAGTTGCATTTCCCTGATGGATAAGGATGTTGAACATTTCTTTAAGTGGTTCTCAGTCATTTGAGATTCTTCTGTTAAGAATTCTCTGTTTAGATCTGCACCCATTTTTCAATTGGATTATTTGGCTTTTTGAGTTCTAGTTTCTTAAGTTCTTTATATATTTTGGAAATCAGCCCTTGTAGGATATGGAGTTGAAGAAGATCTTTTCCCATTCTGTGGGCTGTTGTTTTGCCTATTGACACTTCCTTGGCCTTATAGAAGCCTTTCTGTTTCATGAGGTCCCATTTACTAATTGTCAATCTTAGTGTCTGTGCTATTGGTGTTATGTTCAGGAAGTTGTCTCCTGTGCCAGTGTGTTCAGTGTTTTATGTTGAGGTCTTTAATCCATTTGTACTTGAGTTTTGTGCAGAATGATAGATATGGACCTGTTTGCATTCTTCTATACGCCAACATCTAGTTATGCCAGCACCATTTGTTGATGATGCTTTCTTTTATTCCACTGTATAATTTTGGCTTTTTTTTGTCAAAAATCAGGTGTCCACAGGTGTGTGGATTTACATCTGAGTTTTGATTGGATTATGTTGATCCACCTGTCTGTTTTATGTCAATGCCGTCTGGTAAAGGCAGGGCTTGGTTACGGGGCTCAGGCTCATCTTAAACTCTTAGTAGCTCTTTCTTTTTCTTTTTAGTTTTTCAAGACAGGGCTTCTCTGTGTAGCTTTGTAGACCAGGCTGGCTTTGAACTCACAGGAATCCACCTGCCTCTACCTCTGCCTCCCGAGTGCTGGGATTAAAGGCGTGCGCCACCACCGCCTAACTCTTAGTAGCTCTTTTAACATCTTTTTAAAAAACATGTATTTATGTGTGTGGCTGTAGATGCATACATGACACAGCACACACGTAGCGGTCATAGGACAGCTTGCAGAAGTTGGCTCTTTCCATTCCAGGGATTGAACTCAGGTTTTTGAGCTTATGGAACACTTTTCCCTGCTCAGCCAGCTCACTACTCCCACCCTTCTGGAAAAACAAAACAAAAACAAACAAACAAAAAAACCCAGTAGCATCAAAAACCAGTTTAACCCTGTCAGATTGCTCCACTTTTCTGAAGGTCTAGCAAGATGCCCCTCCCTCTTCTTGTGGTGTGTGCAGCTTACCATGGAGGGCTTGAGGTGGGGCACAACACCAAGAGAGATGGAAAGTGGACAAACAGGAGGTCCTCAGAGCCACAGCAGACGGCCCTAGTTTGTATATGCTGTACACCATGGACTGGATTGCAGATGGGCACCACACCCCTGGCTTTACACGTGGGCAGATTTGAGTGACCATGCATGTATAGTCTCAGGAGAGTGAACCCTGTTGGCTTCACTGGTTACGTCCAGCACCTGGAAACCAAATGGTACCCTGCCCTGGTCCTTGCCTGTCAGACTCGTATTCTCAGTTGTACTGTGCCCAAGTGGCATTCATTCTGCAGGGGAGAGAGAGCAGCTACGAAGCTGTGGAGTTTGTGGTTTTGTGGGGGTTTTGTTTGTTTGTTTGTTTTTTACTTAAAATTGTCATTTAATGTGCCTGTTGTTAACAAGACCAGTAGTAGTCTCTGAAGAGATGTTTAGGTATATTGAAAGTGTGGTTCAGATTGAAATTTCACATTAAAAAAAAAAAAGGTGAGGCCGGGCGTTGGTGGCACACGCCTTTAATCCCAGCACTCGGGAGGCAGAGGCAGATCTCTGTGAGTTCGAGGCCAGCCTGGTCTACAGAGTGAGTTCCAGGACAGCCTCCAAAACAATACAGAGAAACCCTGTCTCGAAAAACCAAATATATATATATATATATATGTGCATATATATATATATATATATTTGAGGAGAGGCTGGCGTGTTGTGTTAGTTTAGGCTTGGTCTGAGTGAGCGGTGGAGTGATTTGAACTTGGCCCACTCATCTGTGAGGGAGCCAGAGTCCAGTGATCACCCTGGGGACAGTGTTCCTTGCAGTATGACTAATAATCGTGGCCCAGTTCCTCACCCTGCTGAGCTGCACCACCTCCCTTCCCACAGGCCACCCCAAAAATATCAGAGATGAAAAAACTGAAGTCTCCACCAGTGTCCACTGCTATGACCAAGATGATATACTACTAGTTAAATAGATCTGAAACTGCCCAACCTTTCCATCCTAACAGTGGGTGAGTATGAAAGCCCACAGTAGGTCTTACTCCTTTGGACTGTTCTCAGAGTTAGACCATTTGCACCGTAATTCATTTTGGGGTGTTCTGTCACCCTAGTTAGTTCTTCAGAGCCCTTTATAATCAGTTCTCAACTAATTCCACTCAGAGCCCAGGTGTCCACTACCTGACCGAGGTTTCCCTAAAGCACACTTAGGTTTTGTCTGCTCTGAATCACAGTAAGGCTGTGGACAGGTAACTTGTACCTCAGTTGTGTCAGGCACTAGGCAAAATGCTTTGGTCCTCAAAGGGAGGAAGAGGCCGGTGCGCAATTACACATGTGCAAACAAGCATTTCTATGGTAACCGTCCTCGGATCCCAAGAGCTGTAGTAGAGCTAGGCTCCTCTGCATATTTAGTTAACTTGAAGTTCTTTGACCTAACCACCCCCTCTCCTGAAATGATAATGAGGATGGAATTTCGTTGTGTTTCTAAGAAACGTGGTCCTTCAAGTTAAGGAGTGGAAATGACGTGGAGATTTTGCTGAGGGAGTTATTTTGACCCTATTCCCCTTCAGTGAACGTTCATGTGTTGTGTGTGTTTCAAGGCAAATTGTCACATCATTCAACAGCTGGACCTTCAAGATGTCTTTCTTCTTCATTGTTGGTAGTTTGCAGCTCAACCTGGAGACTTTGAAGAACTAAAGCCTTTATTTCCACCCTAGAATTTACATGGTATCTTGTGTTTTACAAGAGTAGCATTAACTCTCTGCACCCCAAGGTCACCTGGATGATGCCATCCAGGCTAAGGGCTGGCGCCTGCCAGTCAGCCCTCCTTGGCTTGACTGCCATGCTCCCCACTGCTTCCTCGAAGCACCCCAGTTCCTGAAAGTGAGCTGTTCCTTCTTTGAATGAGTTTTTTTTTCTTTTCTGTGAACCCGGTGTAGGGAAAGGTGGTGAGACGCTCAGATATGTTGTAGATTGAAAAGGTTACCCCACGCGATTGCAGACACGCTGATGGCTCAGCCTGGCTTTTAAACAATGGAAGTGGGGGGACCTGTGGTGACTGCAGCATCTCCAGTGTCATTTAGGCATGCATGCTTGCTCCCTCAGGTTTCCTGTGAGGCAGGCACAGGGAGAGTCACTGCAGAGGGTGACAGCTGGGCCTTGGGCTCTGTTCACAGTATCCTAGATTAAATTTGAAGCCTGAAATGGAATGCTTTGCCAGGACAGGGAATGGAATGACATTTCACTCCTCTCCAAAGGAAACTTCTAAAGAAAAGATTTGGCAGCATGAGAGAGCTGTGCACATGCTTCTAACTTGCTTACGACCTCCTTCCTGTCTGGACAGAGACGCCTCCCTCAGTCTCCTGGTACTGTGCAGATGTTCCTTTGCATCATGGGTGATTTGTGAACCCATGTGCTGGGCTTGTATCCTAGGGGCAAACTGGACCTTGGGGGCTCCAAAAACGGCTGTTTATGACCACCAGACCTGGAGTCTATAGAGGTGAATGACAATAGTGTCAGGGCCCTTCTGTGTGCTTTAAGGCCCCCATCAGGCGGAGCCTCACCTGCTTGGCATCTGTGAGAATACAGGGTCATGGTGGGTTCTTTGCCTGGCTCTCTGACTGATCCTGGGGGAAGATGCCTGTCCATATGTGAAGCGCTGTTCTCTGGAGTATACACTTTACTGTGGTTGTATACGCTGCTATTTCAAGCCTTGCCATAAGCAGCCTACATCAGTGATTTATTCTGCTGGTTATGCCACCTTGAAACCACAAAGGGAACTCAGTAGTGACTTTTTCTTAAGGTGACACAGGCTATAAGACTTTCAGTTCCCCTTTTCCAAAGTGGAGTCAGCTACTAAAATGCATGTGCTGTGCCCTTTATAGGCACCCACATGCACCCACATATATACACACAGAATAAAGTATAATAAAAAAGTAGAGTAAAAATAGTAAGACTGAGGAAAACAGCTGAAGTAATGTTTACAACTACAACACTAAGAATATATGTGATACACTGACAGGTTTAAAGACAAGACAAAGGAAGGACAGGACCTCATGCCACACATCTACATTTACTCACGTGCACACGAGAGGAAGCTGCATCTGAGCATTCTGTGGGGCAGGCAAAGCTGCTGAACACAATAGAGAGTATGAAGATGCAGGGACAGCACGAGGGGGTTCTTCTGGCTTCACCTTCAGAGCTGTTCTTTGCTGATAGGAACCATTAGCTCTGTGGAAGTGCACATGAGTCAGCAAGTCCTGTGTGTCAGGATACTTGTTCCCTGATAACACTGAAAGTCATTTATCTTCCAGACTGCCCAAAGCCCATTAACCCTACTGATAAACAAGACTGGGTCTTACCCTGCTAGATAGAAAATATGAAGCTCTTTATATTGTTGTGGTAAAAATAAATAAACAAACAAAACACATAACACAGTTTACCATCTTAACCATTAGAGTGCAGTGTTAAGCCAACCAAAGCTTTGCAACATACAAAGAAAACAAACCACTACGCTACGTTACCAGCCCTGATTCAGCATGGTGAAACAGGCCTCTAGAACTTCCGCTTTTGTTTGTGTATGTGTGTCTGTCTGTCTGTCTGTCTGTCCGTACCATAGCATAGTATGGAGGGCGGAGGATCATCTTTGGGAGTCAACTTCCTCCTTCCATCACATGGGTCCCAGAGATGGAACTCAGGTTGCATCATCGGGGTTGGTACCAGCCACCTTGACCTACAGAGCCATCTTGCTGACCCCCTAGAACCTTTCAATGTGGGAAACTGAAATGCCATGCCTGTTAGACACATTTCCTCTCCATCTCCTTGTTCCTGGTTCCCACCATCCTGCTTTGTGCTCCTGTAAATCTGACCACTTTACACACTGCAGGTTAAGTGCAGTCTTCTTAATGCCTGTCTTCATGTGACTGGTTTGTCTCACTGCCATAATGAAATCAGTGCCCTAGTAGAGTTTTTATTTTTGTCATGTGATGTGACCTCCTGGTTCCCTCCTGTTCCTGAGCAAGAACTAGCCCTAAAAGGCCAGTGTTCTGTTTTACCAGATTGTAATCAACAAGGGAGTGACCCCAGGCATCACAGGACTGAGTGTCTACAGTGTTATCTCTAATGTTGGAGAGGTTCTAAAGCCCGTGTTGGTCTTCCCCTTTCAGAGAGCTCAAAGATATGCTCAGCAAGTCCTACAGAAGGAATGCCGGCCCAAGTTTGCGAAGAAAGCCATGGCTCAGTTATTTGAGCACAGGTACAGCATGAACTTGGAGCCCTTTGTGCAGAAAGTCCCAAGGGCCAGTGAAGCCGAACTCAAATATGACCCTCCTTTTGGATTCCGGAAGTACTCCAGTAAAGTCCAGAGCCTCTTGGATTTGCTCCCTGAGCGTGACTTCCCTGAACACTTGAGAGCCAAGCACTGCAGGCGCTGCGTGGTTGTCGGGAACGGAGGCATCCTTCATGGACTAGAGCTGGGCCACGCCCTTAACCAGTTTGATGTGGTTATAAGGTATCTGCACTCAAAACCAGCCTTTCTCTAGAATTTGGTCTCATACTCTGGGCCAATGCAGCTCTCCGGACAGAGAGGAACCCTGGATGCTCTCAGCATCCCTGCTTCTACTCTTGAAACTAAAGCACAAATGGCCAGGTGTCCCAAACTATTTATTGGTTGTCCTGGATTCAAGGATGTGGGCTGGTGTCACTTGCTAAGCCTTTCAGAAGAGGGAGGTTGCAAGGCTGGGAGGACTTGGTAAACAGTACGTTAGTTAGGTGGGGCTACAGGATGGTGCGGAACAGGAGGACCTGCTTAAGACACAGAGGACCTGGCTTAAGACACAGAGTGAGCCCTGGAAGGCGGTGCTGGCTAAGATAGACTCCTCTAGGGTAGCTAGAACTCAACACAAGCAGTAGACAGCCATCCTAGAGTTCTCTGCTTTTGTTTGTTTTGTTTTTTTTGTTTTTTGAGACAGGGTTTCTCTGTGGAACTAGCTCTTGTAGACCAGGCTGGCCTCGAACTCACAGAGATTCACCTGTCTCTTCCTCCCAAGTGCCAGGCTATGGGAGGAAGCCCCACCCATCCAGGGTAGGGACAGGCTATGGGAAGGAGCCCCAGCCATCCAGGGGTGCAGGGACAGGCTATGGGAAGGATGGGGATAGGAGAACAGGTGATAACAGTGCAGACTTCGGTTCTAGGACAGAGGTAGCTAGAGGAGGTTACACATCAAGTGGCTTTGAGGGACAGTGGTGAGTGTCTTCTCAGAAGGGATTCAGTTGGGGATGGCTGAGTGAGAAACCCTACCTGGTGTGGGGACAGGGTTAAGACAGCTGGGAGGGGCCAGAAAAGAGACTTGATATCCTGGGGTGGCAGGGTTGGGGCATGACATAAAGGACAGGAGACTTCTATGCACCAGAGACAGTGAAGGGTGCTTGGAACCTGGTTAGAAAGAGAAAGATTGGTTAAGAAGCATTTTTTTCATAATTTTGTGGTAATAGTACAAATAATTCCCATTTACCTTCTCCCAGATTTCCTGTTGACCACACTCCACCCATTTGCATTATTTCCCCTGTATCTGTACAGATGTTCTTAGCTTTTGAGGAGGCTTCCACCTGTACACCCAGCATACATTTCCATCAGGAATGCATTAAGGGGCAAGGGAGATAGCTCGGTGCATAGGCTCTTGCCTCAGGACTGGAATTCAGGTCTCCGGTGCTTGAGTAAATGCCAGGCAGGTGTGACCTGTAGATTCCATGCTCTGGAACTCCAGGCTCAGAAGGCAGAGGCAGGGGATCCCCTGGGCAGGCTGGCTAGCTAGACTAGCCATACTGGTGAGCTTTGACTCCAATAGAGAGACCTTGTTTCAATCAGTAAGATGGAGAGCATTTGAGGAAGACTCTCCATGTCAACCCATTAGTGCATATGAGGGTAGGGAGGAGTAGGACTGCATTGACTCCACCTAACCTACTACACACTAGGACTGCATTGACTCCACCTAACCTACCACACGGTAGGATGCCAGTCATTTCCTCTCGGGATCCACCTGCCTGCCACTTGTGGCATCGTAAAAGGTTTCATGCCACAAATGGTGGCAGCCCAGGAAGAGAACAAAATCCAAAGTTCGGAATTGGGTTCTGTCAAATGCACATTGCTTTGAAAAATTTTAAGGTGAGCCAGTGAAGGTTAGATACTCTCTGCTAAGCCCTTTTTGCAAGTTGCAAATAGCAAGCCCTAAGAACTCGAGTGCACTTTTCCTGAGAACAGGGACATGATACTCAGGATCAGAAAGTTAACATAATACAATTAATAAATTGTATCCGTGCATTAATACTTACAGATCTAATCTACAGACTTTATCGATTTACGTCAATAATGCCCTTCCTTTTAAAAACCAGAAGAAAGAAAACCGTCTGTCCCGGTGGCGCTCCTGCTTCTGCATTCCATTGTCCTATTGAGCAGCCAGCATTAGTAAGCATGGGATGAGGTGTTTAAGATCTGGAAGAAGTAGCGTGAGATAGCAAGGCTAGACACAACTGTGTGTCTGATATTTTTATGAGATTTCAGAAGGTCATAACTAGCTGGGCACAGTGGCATAGCTCTGTAACTCCAAGTGCTCAGGAGACTTTGGGATTCTGGCAATAACTCTTCATTATCTGAGCAAACAGGAGATTTTCAAAGAAAGAAAATTCCAGAAAAGCCCCAAATGCCGCATTTGGATTAGCTTCAAATACTGGGATATGACAGAACTGCTTAAGTTGACAGTCTAGGGTTATATATAGTGGACTTCATGCTGCCCTCAGCCAGTGGCCCAAAGGTCAACATTATGTAGCGCACCAAGACCCCTGGGAGGGAATCCTAATCCAACAATGTCCTGGTTTATGGAGTTCATGGAGTACATGGTGTGACAAGATGGTTAATGACTTCCTTTGTCAATTGTTCCTTTTTGTTTGACTAGGTTAAACAGTGCACCAATTGAGGGTTATTCTGAACACGTTGGGAATAAAACTACCATAAGGATGACTTACCCAGAGGGTGCGCCGCTGTCAGACGTGGAATACTACGGCAATGACTTGTTTGTCACTGTTTTATTTAAGAGCGTTGATTTCAAGTGGCTTCAAGCAATGTTAAAAAATGAAACCGTGGTAAGCACTCACAGCTCTTCTGGAAATCTGGCATTGGTAAAAGTGAGGGCATCTTAGATCTCAATTATGAACCTTTAGTTTTAAATAGACACAGCAGAATGTGGACTTTGTGTTATCTTTGAAATTATATCCTCCCTCTTCGTAGAAACCCCTCAGAGCTCTTCTGCATGTTTTCTTTCGGAGCCTGATAAGAGTTGGCACGCAGGACAGAAAGTGCAGCTCAGCCTGTGGAGTGCTTGCCTAGTGTGCATACGGCCTTCGTTCAGTCTCCAGTACCACGTAAAACTAGCTGTACACACCTATATTCTCAGCTCTTGGGAGGTGGAGGCAGCAGGATAACCTCCAGGCCATCCTCAGTTACAGAGAGTTTGAGGCCAGCCTGGGCTACATGAGACAAACAAATAAGTAAACCAGAGCTATGAAAAGAATTTTGTATGAAAATGGTGGTCATTACTAAAAGGGAATGTCAACTTTAAGACCACACTTCCTGTTCTGGGGTTGGTTGACTTGTTCTCTGGACATGGACTTGAATGAAGTGAGATTTGCCTGGATGAATGTAAACTTGCTGAAGGTTCTACGTAATCATCCCAGAGATGTTTTTAAAATGCTGTAGGCAGGATCCTCTCATTGGAGTAAATCCAAAGCATTCTTGAAGGGCAGAGGCAGAGACCTCCACTCGGTCAGATTTCTCTTGTTGGTCTTTCTGGGACTCAATTAATGTTACTTTGTAGTTCTGTCCATTAAAGTGAAATACTTTTCAGAGCTCAGTTACCAAGCTGAAGCTGATCACAATAGCTATTTCCAAAACTAAGAGGATAGGGCCCACGGAGATGACTCAGAGGGTAAAGGTGTCTGCCACCATGCCTGACAACCCAGGTTTAATCCCTGGGAGCTGCATGGTAGAAAGAGATGATCTCCAGAGGTCATCCTCCGGCCTCCATGCATGTGCTGTGATGACCACACACACACACACACACACACACGGCATGGTTAAATATACTTTTTTAAATTAGTATGCTGTGCTGTGTGATGAAACAGTTTATATGTCCAGAGCCCAGTCCTCTGCAGATTATTGAGATCTTATGGATTTGCTATTGTGTAGAATTTCTGATGGGAAAATGAAGTGACCTTTAGTCAGTTGCTAAACAACCTTATGAGACTAAGAGATAAAGTCAGTGGAAATTGGGTACGAGGTAAGAGCCCATCCAACACGGCACTCAGAACACTTACTACCCTTAAATCGGGCTGTTAATTGGCCTTCCCTGGAACACGGTGGCCATGGACTGTAAAAGAGACACCCTGGCTCAGGTCATCCTTTAGGAATTTCTTCCACAAGCTGACTCTGTCGTTTCTGTTCAGGTCTGCACCACCTATGCAAATTGCAAGTTTCAGGGTTACATTATTGGGTTGAAGTACTGGATTTCCATGCATTTAGATGACTATACTCCAGGGTGCAAGGTACAAGGCCACCCGGAGTTATGTCCGTGGCCTTGGCATAGTTAACAATGAATGCCTTCCCACCCTCTGCAGACAGGATAACATGGCTAAGCATCCCTAATGATTGCTCGCATTCTTTCCTCAGCCATTTTGGGTTCGGCTCTTCTTTTGGAAGCAGGTGGCAGAAAAAATCCCACTCGAAGCAAAACACTTCAGGATTCTGAACCCAGTTATCATCAAGGAAACTGCCTTTGACATCCTTCAGTACTCAGAGCCTCAGCTGAGGTTCTGGGGCCAAGATAAGGTATTTTTGTTACTGCTCAACTAACTGTCCGCTGTGTACAAGAGACAATGTGTTCAAGTTTTGTGTGGGCTCATCTGTACCACTAGAGGCATCTCTGGTAGGGAAGCCTACTCATTGACCAGACAAGCCCATGTGTGATTGTCAGTACACCCCTTGGTGCCGGGGTTCCTTGTGGTTGAATCAGCCGTCTTCCTCGGTGTACCCTTCAGTATGGTGACACTTATGTTACTAAGATGTTAATTAAGGTATCTTTGTCCCAGGACCACATTCAACTGCCAGTCACCAAGAGAGGTTTTTTGTTAATCTACAAAGGTTCTGTATATTTCATCTCTACAGGATACTAAGAATTGGTCCTTACCAGTACTTCACAGGTGATGAATGAAGTCTGCCCTCTATGACAGTGCTTTTCAGTCTGGCCCCGCCCCAGACAGTCAGACATCATTTGGTCAGGGTTGTGGTCTATACGTGGAGATTTTCAAAATCACCCAGATGGTTTACCTCACAGCCTAGTTTGAGAACCTTTGTGTTCTAGGTTTCCATTAGGGAGGTTGTTAACCTGCAGTTAGTACAGGCTGCCAGAAGGGGTGGTGTGAAGAATGCTCTTATCGTAGCTTGGCCTGTGTCTTTAAAACATTTAAGACCTGTATGGAAATCCTTCTTAAAACAAGATTTAACACATGTATGATCAAGTAAACATGCTCGAAATACAAACAAGTATTTCTTGAGCTAAAAAAAATGAGCCTGAATAAATAAAAAGGATGGGACTATAGACATGACTGAGCACTTACAGCTGAGAACACTGACTGCTCTTACAGAGGACCTGAGCTCTGTTCCCAGCACTTACATCAGGTGGCTCCCAACTGTCTGTAACTCCTGTTCCAGGCATCTGGTACCCTCCTGTGACCCCCTTCGGTACACACACACACACACACACACACACACACACACACACACACAGAGACAGACAGACACACATACACAGAGAGAGACACACACACAGACACAGAGAGAGAGACAGACAGACACACCCAGAGAGAGACACACACACACATACACAGAGAGAGAGAGAGAGAGAGAGAGAGAGAGAGAGAGAGAGAGAGAGAGAGAGAGCAAGCATACATTCACACATGCACATACACACACATAATAAAGATAAAAAACCTTTTTAAATTATCTCAGTGCTCAGGAAGTTAAGGCAGGTTCAAGGCCAGGCTTATCTACATAGTGAAACCCTGCTTCAAAAAGAATGGCATTAGTCCACCACCACAAGTTCACTGGCAAGGCCAGATACCCCTGCAGCTGAAGACAACATTAGCCAAATACTAGCACACTGACAGGGATTTTTTTGGGGGGGGGAGGGAACTGGGATATAGCTTAGTTGATAGAGTGCTTGATCAGCATTAATGAATCCAGTGCCCAGAACCACACAAATCAGGCATGTTGTTACATGTCTGTAATCCCAGCACCCAGGAGGTGGAGGCAGGAAGATCAAAATTCTAAGGTTATTCTCTATTTCATGGCAGGCTCAAAGCCAGCCTTGGTATGCTCTGAAAATCTCCATGTCAGACTTTCTCATGCATGTGCCCTCCTGTCATGTGGAGAAGTTTGTGGGCCTCGGAGCTGTTAGGTGCAAATGATACAAGTTGAGGAGGTTCTGGTCCTTTTTTTCAGAATCACATCCATTTATTTGGTGTGTTTGTGTTTGTGTGTGTATGTGTGCATGTGAGTGTGTGTGTGTGAGTGTGTGCATGTGTGTGCTCACATGCATGAGTGTGTGTGCATGTGAGTGTGTGTGAGTGTGTGCATGTGTGTGCTCACATGCATGAGTGAGTGTGTGTGTGTGCGTGTGAGTGTGTGTGTGTGTGAGTGTGTGCATGTGTGTGCTCACATGCATGAGTGTGTGTGTACATGCGAGTGTGTGTGAGTGTGTGCATGTGTGTGCTCACATGCATGAGTGAGTGTGTGTGTGTGTGTGTGTGTGTGTGTGTGTGTGTGTGTGTGTGTATTAGAGGAGAGCTTGCAGGAGTCAGTTCTCCCGTTCCACTTTGTTGGTCCTGGGAACTGAACTCAGGTACCTTTACCTGCTAAGCCTTCTTGGCAGCCCCTGCAGTCCTTTCTGATCTCTCCTCATGTGTTGCTTCCATGAACACTTGATTGTACACACAATTGCACAGGCACTGGTTGTGGATCCCTTGCGTGCCCCAGGCTGCATGCTAGCGGACACAGACAGTGCTGCACAGCTGTAGCCAGGGGGCGTCCTTGGCAGTCATCTCTCTTGGCCTGTTTACAAGCATGCAGACTGACTGCCATGGTCCTTTTTACACTGAGGTTGACTTTGAGAGTGGATACGCATGGAGCAGGAGGCAATGTAGAGTGAATGATGAGCTTCTGGGAGCACCCCTGACCCCAGAATCTGTGAGCGCTGGGGGAGTCCTGTGCCAGTTTACAGAAGAGGAATATTTATGGAAGCCACAGGCTTCAGCAAGATGAGAGACATTGAAAGCTATCCAAAAACAAATTCAGGTTGAACATCCTGAATCTGAAAATCAAAAACACTTTGATAGTTCACAGTACATCATGAGTAGAAAATTCCATACCTTGGCCTCATGTGACAGGTCATAATCAAAATGTAAATAGCGTTAACCAGGTGTTGGTGGCACACGCCTTTAATCCCAGCACTTGGGAGGCAGCGGCAGATGAGGCCAGCCTGGTCTACAGAGTGTGTCCAGGACAACCAGGACTACACAGAGAAACCCTGTCTTTAAAAAAAAAAAGTAAATAGACTAAAAATACTGTATAAAATTGTAGTACATGAACCAGGCATTGGTGGTGCACACCTCTAATCCCAGCACTCGGGAGGCAGAGGCAGGCGAATCTCTGTGAGTTCCAGGTCAGCCTCCAAAACAATACAGAGAAATCCTGTCTCAAAAAAAAACAAACAAAAAATTATAGTACATGTATAAGGCATTAGTGAAACACATGTGGGTCCTAGTTCTAAGACTGTGTATGAACAAGTACTCCAGAAACATCTGAAACAGTGCTGGGCTCACACGTTTTAGACACAGGAATCAGCCTGCAACTGGACCAGGAGGTTCTGTCAGCCACAGGCTCTCTGGACTCGCCTTACAGTGCAGTTTTTACCTCAGACTGAAAGAAGATCTAAAAAGCTGTGCCAGGGTCCCACATCCCAGGAGACATGGAAAGATGCTGCAGACAGAGGGCATGCCAACAGTGAGAAGCTAGGATGGGGTCAGCCTTGGGCCTGCTAGGCCACAGTTAGTTGAATCTATTTCGAAAGGAGTAAATGAAGCCAGGCAGAGAGACACCTGTGATTCAGCACTCCAGAGGCTGAAGCAGGAGGCCATGGTGTAGAGGCCAGCTTGGGTTACATGGAAAAACCCTGCCTTAAAAACACAAAACAGACAGGGATGACTGTGACAGTGCATGCTGGGTAACAAGTTCAGTCCCAGTCCCACATGGTGGAAGAGAACCAACTCCTGAAAGTTGTCCTCTGACCTCCAATCATGCACGGTGACTTGTGTGTCCAAGTGTGCATGGTGTGCACGCACACACACACACACACACCTTAAAAATATAAAAAGACAGTTAATTTAGTTAATGAAAATCTAAAAATCAAGGAAGAAACGCCCTTAATTCAGGTCTGGCATAGCTGCTGTGCATATGAAAATGGTCTAGGAACATCAGATGGTAACATTTAGTGGGACACTAGCAGCAAGTAGGGAAGGGGAGAAATGAGAATTTAATAAGGGGGTGTGTCCCACAGGAGGGATGGGCTCCAGAAACCATGCCCTGGGGAGGACCATGGACGGTCCTCTCAGGAGTAGACCGGATATATCTGACAACATACATACAAGTAACATACAGACTGAGCAGGTTATATTTAGGAATATACATGTATATACATATATGCATGCAATAACTATTAGTAAAAAGAAGAGACCATGAAATTTCAGGAGAGCAGGGAAGGGTGTGGGGGAGGGTTTGGAAGAAAGAAAGAGAAAGGGGAAATGTTGTAATTATAGTCTGAAAAATTAACAAATGGTTGGGTAAAGTGTTGCACACCTTTAATCCCAGCACTTGGTGGACAGAGGCAGGTAGATCTCTATGAGTTCCAGGACAGCCAGAGCTACATAGTGGAACTCTGTCTGGAAAACAAAAATAAAATTTAAAGTATTATTTTTTAAAAATGACTAACTGTAATAAATTTGCCTGTGTTCTTTTCAGAATATCCCCACAATTGGTGCCATTGCCATTGTCTTAGCCACGCATCTGTGCGATGAGGTCAGCTTGGCAGGTTTCGGGTATGACCTCAGCCGCCCCAGGATTCCTCTGCATTACTTCGACAGTCAGTGCATGGGCGCCATGAACTTTCAGGTCATGCACAATGTGACCACAGAGACCAGGTTCCTTCTGAAGTTGATCAAGGAGGGTGTGGTGAAGGACCTCAGCGGGGGCATCCATTGTGAATTTTGAGCACAGCAAACCTCAGTTAGAAGCACAGCTGAGAACTCTGGTGACCAACCTCCACTTGCGGCCACCGACTCTCGCAGCTGCTGTTTTTAAATTTTTAACTAAAAAAGAAGAAAAAAAGAACAACAACAAAAGTTTAGCTCCTACCACTTGTTTGCCCTATTTATTTGAAGTCAATGTTGGGTTTTGCACATTTTTGTAAGTTAATTTTAAGAACGGGATTGGAAAGACTTTTCAAAGAGAATCATATTTCTGGGATGATACTTTATTGTATTTTAAGGAAATAATTTAATTTGCAAAAACTGTACACATGTTGTCTGCACCGTGATTGCAGGTGGGAAGACAGGGGCCTCTGTCCCTTTGGTGATGGCCCTGAGTCTGGATTCTGCTGCTCTCTTTGGTAGACCTGATGGCAAAGGGCTCACTCATCACCACTGGCAGCCACAGGAGGTGGGGGCCACCAGACAAGTCCATAGCCCCTTTCTCCCAGTCCATCTTCTTCCAGAAGACTCATGGCAGTTAACCCGAGCACTGGCCTGGAGGATGCTGGCCGGAGGCCACTGTTTGCTGAGTGCCGAGATGTTGCCTTGGACTACAGAAGCTGTGTCTATCCCACACTGTCAGGACACTTTTAAACTTGCAGAGAATTTTTTTTTCTGCCCTTTCAAAGCACTAAGTGTTACTAAGACACTGCTGTTTGTCTGAGGTGGCACATCAAAATCATGACAAAACCTCAGTTATCCAGAGCCGTGGGGAAATGAGCCTCCCAGGGATCATCGTGTTTCTGAAGCACTGGAATGAACCCCCCCCCCCCCCCCTATTGTTATAACTTACTTATTTAAAGAAAAAAGAAAGAAAGAAAAGAAAAAAGGAAAGATTTCCAAATGCCTGACTGTGTATACCGAGTAATGTCAAAGAAAGAAAGAAGAATAAAAGCTATTGAGGAACTCCTGTGATCTGGTTACTTAGGAGTGTTTGTTCCTTCTTTTGTTCATTTTAGGAACATCTCTTTTCTCTGCTGAGTGGAAACCTCACCCTGAATGCTGCAAAATGAGGAACAGAGTGAGGGAGCCTAGCTCTCCTAGCTCTTTGATCCAAGTCACGGGGCGGCCCCTCTGGAGAGGAGATGGGTGTCTTAGTTAATATTCAACACAGTGACAAAATTCCATGACCAAGACGACTTATCATGATGAGGAACATGGGAGCAGGCAGGCTGGCAGGCATGGTGCTGGAGCAGTACCTGAAAGCTCTTATCTTGCCCACAAACCAATGAGACAGAAGGAACTAACTAGGAATGGAGGCTTTCCAAACCTCAAAGCCCACCTCAGTGACACACCTCCAACAAGGCCACAGCTCCTAATCCTTCTCAAACGGTTCCACTGATGGGACCAGGCATTCAAATAATGAGTCTGTGGGGACCATTCCCGCTCAAACTGCCACTGTAGATGCCAGTTGCCTCCCCCCAAGCTCTAGCTTTTCTTGCAGTGGCTGGCGTCAGATGTGTGCAGCTGTTCTGTGTCGTCTGCTGTGCCTTTGTTCTCTCTGCCCATGCTGTCTGGAACCTCCCTTAGTTCACCCCACTGCCCTACGGCCCCAGGAAAACCTGTCCCCAGTGCGTTCTAATGCTTGTACCATCTCCCTACTAAGGAGTGGGGAAAGGGGATAAGTCATGGCCATCAACACAAAATCCCATCTCTAGGGCTATAGGTTACAGCTCACAGGGATGCAGGTAAAATAGTGTTTCTCTGGTTTCTTGTCTCTTTTGGCTTCTACTTTGGAACATACTATTTGCTTCAAAGATGGTGTTTCTGAACTCTCAGTTCTATGACTTATTCAAAAGCACTCTTGTTAAAAGAAGCTTTCCTTGAGATAGAGCCGTTCCCGCCAGCCTGGTTCCAGATCCGCATCAGTCCCAAATAAACACACAGGAGGCTATATGAATTATGAAGCTGTTGGCCTTGCTTGTCTCTTACTGGCTAGCTCTGCTTTAAGTAATTACCTCATAATTGTTAATCTAAGTATGTCTCTTACCGGAGAATAGTTCCGGGCTCCTACCCCAATGGCGTTACATCTCGACTCTCCTGTGTTTCTCCTTCCCAGAATCCTCCTGGACTCCTAGCCCCACCTATCTAGATTTCTATAGGCTCAACAGTACTTTATTGACAAATAACAGGCAAATAACAGGACTTCCCCAACATCTCCTCTTTTCTGTTTAAACAAAAGAAAGGTCTTAATTTTAACATAGTCAAATTGTATATGACAGAACAGTTATCAAATAAGAACATAGTTACAATATTTTGTCAACATTTAGCAAGATTTAAAGAAAATATCATCCATCCCATTCTTGTAAGTGTAAAGTTCTATATGTAGTTTATCTTTTATCATAACTAAGGAAAACTATAATTATAACTATCTGTCTTCAACTCCATCAAAGACCACAGAAGGATAATATATAAACACTAGGATTGACAGAGACATCTTGCTACCTGGACAGTCACCCGAAGTTCCACTGTAACGTTGGGGCATCCATCTTCAGCCCATAGGCCACAATGTGTCTGGAACACTTCTCAGCAAAGCAGGAAATTTCAAACTGTCCATCTGCGCTGGAAGTCTATCAGTCATTTTTCTTTGTCCTGTAGAAAGTCTCTTAGACTCTTTCATGAAGCAGGAACCCTATAAGACTGAGTTCAGCAGTCACTTTTCTGTGGGTCCTGCATGTCCAGATTATACAACAACAGTCAAACAGTCTAGGCAAGAGCAGTTTCTTGCCCAAATGGCTAACCTTGCCATGTTGAAAGCAAACTCCATAACAAGTTTCTTCAATGCCCATTTTCCTCTCAGACATAATTGGTGCTGCCAGGAGTAGACATTTCTCATTGTCAAGAAAAACCCTAAACCATTTTAAATGCCATTTTCTGAAGGTCTTTGAAAGGTTTGAAGACTATTTATCTGTCTCAAATACATCTCTATATATCTAGAAAACCTAACTTACCTAACTATAAATTCTGTTATAAGTAACTATCCATAGTCTGTATTCAATTATGCATTACATTTTAAAAGATCAATATAAGCACAATACTTAATCAAGAAGAGAAATATACATATCACAAAATTGACCTTGAATTTGTATCAATAAATGAAAAACAATACCCATACCATAATTCCCTTTTTTACCATTAAAAAGATTGGCTGTGATCATTAGCCAATTATAAACAATCCCATTTAAATGAAAACAAAGGTTTATAAACAAGTTGGGAATTGGGACGTCGCTCATTCCAAACTGCTTCCTGCTGGAAAGGGGCGCTGTTCACACCATGGGGATCATGACAAAACTCAGAAACCTTTATAAGTCCGTATTTTCGGGGTCTGTAAAGCTGCATCATCTTAGCTGTCTCAATAGTTGGAACACCTGGTCCACTGCTTCTGGGGGTCTTGGTTCGTCAAACCACAGAAGTCTGGAAAGAATCCTCAGCTTTTCATTTTCTGTGGAAACATAAGCAAAATCTCCTTTCCCAAGTAACATATCCTTATACTTAAATTTTGAAGTCAAGGCATTTTTAAAAGATAGAAGTTGGATTAATTCAGCAGCATTTATAATCAAGTGTACTTTAGTAGCAGTTCCTTCTGAGCAATTATAAAACTGAAAAACATAATAGCGTACAGTATCCAGACTCTCTGCGTATTTTCCATCTTTACGTGGCTTATTTATTTATTTATTATTACTTTATTTCTTTCACTTTTATTTATTTTTCTCTGAGACAGGGTTTCTCTTTAGAAACCTGCCTGCCTCTGCCTCTGGGGCAATTCCTACCGGCGTGCGCCACCACAGCCAGCTTCTTTATTTTCTCTCTCAATCTTACGTATATTTTTAAACACACTGTAAACCTTTAGAGGTTTGTTTATCCAAGTCTGACTTTACTGTAAATCTTTATGTTTTTTTGGCCATGTGTCTTATTTGTAAAACCGTGGCTGTTTTAAACTGCCTTTTTTTTTTCAAAATGGCGGGCGTAAGCGTGATTCCAGCTTACCGCCTCAGTCCATGGTGACATCCAGCAAAAGCTGCCACTTCCAGTTGTACGTACACACCTTTCAATCGTTAGCAGAGTCTCTTAAAGCAACCTTGCTGCTGTTTTGGTTTTTTTTTTTTTTTTTTATGCAGAGTCAGGAAGACTCCGGTAATCGAGCCACATGAATCTCAGCTTGTTGATAGCAAAACAGAGCACACCTGAGAAAAATGCTGCTACCAAAAATCTGTGCTTCTCTCCGTTCTTCTGTTTCTAAAATTCCTTTAAAGCTTTTGTCATTCTACGTGGAAATTCAATCCCACTCCTGATCACCATTATGTTAAAAGAAGCTTTCCTTGAGATAGAGCCGTTCCCACCAGCCTGGTTCCAGATCCGTATCAGTCCCAAATAAACACACAGGAGGCTATATGAATTATGAAGCTGTTGGCCTTGCTTGTCTCTTACTGGCTAGCTCTGCTTTAAGTAATTACCCCATAATTGTTAATCTAAGTATGTCTCTTACCGGAGAATAGTTCCGGGCTCCTACCCCAATGGCGTTACATCTCGACTCTCCTGTATTTCTCCTTCCCAGAATCCTCCTGGACTCCTAGCCCCACCTATCTAGATTCCTATAGGCTCAACAGTACTTTATTGACAAATAACAGGCAAATAACAGGACTTCCCCAACACACTCTAGCTCAGATATGACATAGCCCACCCCTAACATTCAGGGCAAAGAAGCCAGATGTATATGGGCTGGTGATATGACTCAGCAGGTAAAGTGTGCGCTGCCAAGCCTGGACCTGAGTTCAGGCCCCAAGACCACATAATGGGAGGAGAGAACCAACTCCTTTGCAGTCAGGAAGTAGAGGGAGACGGACGCTGCTGCTCAGCTGGCTTTATTTTTATACAGCCCAGGACTTAACCCATAGAAGGAATGGTTCTACCTACAATTAGGATGACTCTTCCTACCTCAACCAATCTAGAAAAATCCCTCAGACACATCCAGGTGTTTGTCTGCTAGGTGATTCTAGAGCCTGTCACAGTGATAACATCAACTGTGTGTGTGTGTGTGTGTGTGTGTGTGTGTGTGTTAATTTGGATAAAAATGGTTCCCATAAGGCCATAGGGAGTGGTACTAGTAGGAGGTGTGGCCATGTTGGAGTAGGTATAGTGTTGTTGAAGGAGGTATGTTACTGGGGAATAGGCTTTGAGGTCTCAGAGGCTCAAGTCTGGCAAGTGTGTCACTGTCTCTTCCTGCTGCCTGTGGATCCAGATGTAGAACTCTGACCTACCTCTCTAGCACCATGTCTGCCTGCATGACACCATGCTTCCCACTATGACAATAATGGACTAAACCTCTGAACTGTAAGCCAACCCCAATTAAATGCTTTACCTTGTAAGAGTTGCCACGGTATGGTGTCTCTTCACAGCAATAGAAATACATATGTAAATGTGTTGTATTTACGTCATGGCCTCCTTTCTCCCCTCCAAGTCTTTCTACCCCCTGTCAAATTTATTAGTTCTATAATTATTGTTAAATACACATTGTATATATGTATGTGCACACTGGTGTGTGTGTATGTGTGGCCCTGTACACATGAGCTTAGGGCTGACCACTTAGGATTGGAAAACCTATCAGATCTTTTGTCCCTGTCAACAGCCATCGGTTGCTTGTAGCTCTTCATCTAAGAATGAGGCTTTCTGAAATTTTCCCTGTACACATTGGCATGTTGACTGGCGTGGTCTCATACAGTCTTGTGTAGGCAGCCTTATTGTCCAAATTTCATGGGTGCAGCTTCCCTGCCATGTAAATACTATCTTGAGGTAGGTGTCCTAGTCCTCTGGATCTTACAGGCTTACTGCCCTCACCCCCTCTGCAATGTACCCTGAGTCTTGCTGAGTACCCCATGGTCACTTACTCTCCGCATTTAGCCTGGTGA